TGCTTGATCTGATCACTTATATTCAACATTATACTGGAGGTTTTATTCTATGCGAGTAGGCAAGAAAAAGAAAAGGCCTCCAGACTGGAAAGAAAGAAATAAAAGTGCTTATTCACAGGTGATATGATTGTTTATGTAGAAAATACTACAGAATCTGCAAAAAAGCTACTAATCGGCAAAAAAGAATAAATGAGTTTAGCAGGGTTTCAGGATACAAGATCAACATACAAAAATAAACTGCATTTCTATATATTAACAATGAACAATCAAAGTTAAAATTAAAATATGAAAAAGATATATATCTTTTGTCAGATATCTGACAAAAGATGTGAAAGACCTATGCACTGAATACTACAGAACATTGCTGAGAGAAATTAAAGGAACTCTAAATAAATGGAGAGATATATTATATTCATGGGTCATATTGTTAAGACTCAATATTGTTAAGATGCCAATTCTTTCCAAATTAATATACAAATTCCATGCACTCTCAAACAAAATCCCAGCATTTTTTGTAGAAATTGACAAACATTTTAAAATTCACATAGAAATGCAAAGGACCTAGAATAATGAAAAAAAAACTTTGAAAAATAACATAGTTGGAGGATTAATACCACTTGACTTCAAGACTTATTGTGAATGTATAATAGTCAAGACAGTGTGGCATTGGTGCAAAGATAGAAAAGTAGATTAATGGAACAGAATATAGAGTCCAGCAGTATACCCACACATATGCAGCCAATTGATTTCAAACAAAGGTGCAAAGGCAATTCAGCGGGCAAAAGACAGGCTTTTGTTGCTATAATTAGTGCTGGAACAATTTTCATTTGGCTATATAAAGTAAAAACAAAACAAAACAGAAACGATTTTAAAAAACCTTCAATCCATACCTCTCCCATGCAAAAAAATAAATAAATAAAATAACATAAAATGTATCATAGACCTATATGAAAACTTAAGACTATATTAAACTTCTGGAAAAAAAACATAGGAGAAAATACACATGACTTTAGCTTAGGAAAAAATTTATTTTATGACACCATAAACATGATCCATAAAAGAAAAAATGAATAAACTAGATTTCAACAAAATGTAAAACGTCATCATCTCTTCAGAAGAGTTTGTTGGGATGATGAAAATATAAGCCATAGACTGGGAGAAAAGATCTGCAATTCATATATCTGATAATGTACTTATACCCAGAACACATAAAGAACTCTAAATGCTCAATAAAAAGAAAAGAAAAAAACCAATTTTTTTAAAAAAGGTAAATGATTTGAAGACACTCCACCAAAGAAAGTATAAGAATAGCATATAAACACATGAGAATATGCTCAACATTATTAGTCATTATGAAAATGCAAATTAAAACCACAATGAGATACCACTACACACCTCTGAGAATAGCTAACCTTTAAAAGACTGATCATACCAAGTGTTGGCAAGGAGGTGGAGAAACTGGAACTCTCATACTGATTGTTGTAATCTAAAATGGTACAATCACTTTGGAAAACAGTTTGACAGCTTATTAAAAAGTATGATCTACTATATGATCTCTATGATCCAGCCATTCCACTCATAGGCATTTGCCCAAGAAAAATGGAAGCATGGGTACGTGCAAAGACTGTACACAATTGTTCAGAGCAGCTTTATTTGCAATAGACAAAAAGTGGAAGTAAATCAGATGTCCATCAACAGGTGAGTGAATAAACAAATTGTGGTATATCCATATAGTGGCATACTACTCAGCAATAAAAAGAAGGATGAACTACTGATACATTCTAAATGTACATGAATCTCAAAATAACTATGCTGAGTGAAAGAAGCTAAGTCAAAAAATTTTTTTAAATTTTAAAAAGAAGAGTACATTCTGTATGATTCCATTTATACAAAATTCTGGAAAACGCAAACTAAGTATATCAGTGGTTGGCCAGGAGATGGGGGCGGTGACAGGAGAGGGGAGGGAAGGAGAGTTTACAAAAGCAAACAAGGAAACTTCTGGGGTTTCTTATCCTGATTGTGTCAATGTTTTCATGGGTGCAAACATTTGTCAAAACTTCTCAAATTGTATATTTCTAAGAGATGTGTAGTGGTATATCATTTTGGTTTTAATATGAATTTCCTTAAAGACTAGTGAGATGTTAGTAGGCATTTGATCATATAGACTTGGAGCCCACGAGAGGGAATGAGGCTGGACAGGGGGGTTTGAGAATCATCGTATAAAGGACACTTGAACCTGTAGATTGGAGTTCTCCTTCAGGTAGAGCATGAGGCATGGGGAAAGATGAGGCCTCAGACCAGCGGCCAAAGAAGTAAGCATTGCTCTTTGAGGAGGAATCCTAGGACTCATTGATATCAAGAAGGCAGCCATAGATCCCTGTACTGGGGACCTGCCACCAATAAATAAATAAATAAATAATTTTTTAAAAAGGCGGCCATGGCTATGATCCATGAGAACTTTTGGGGGGAGGGGGCAAGTGAGGAAGAACCTACATTGCTACATCATATCTAAAGGACCTCTGGATCTAACTGGGGGAAGCCCCACCAACAAGCGGTGAGGCATTGACTATGGGCAAGGAACAAGCTGGGAAGGACACGTCAGTTCACAGAGTTTATCCCCCGATCCCAGAGAACCCCTGCCACGTGGTCTCTGATAGCAAAAATTTCCATGGCGAAATTCTCAGCAGGTCTGAGGCAGCCCTAGTACCTTGGGCCCACTGCGGGACCCGCAGGGACTGGTAGTTTTCCGAGAACAAGAACATGATCTTGTTGGCTGTGGCCCCAAAGGCGATTCCGTAGGACCATCGGTTACTAAAAGTGCCCACGAAGTCCAGAGGCCTGTGAACAACAGAAACAGCTTGTGAGGCCAGAGGTGGCTCTGAGACTTCCCACAGGTCACCTCTGAGGCAGCGATTCCATTCTGGGGAGGGATTATTGGATAGTGAACTATTCGTTGCAACTGACATCTCCTGAGGCACGCAGTGCCACGTCTGGGGCTAGGCACGGATTCAGGGTACTGAAGTGAGAAAGGCAAAACTCTTGCCCTGGAGGAGCTCCAAGTCTAGTGGGGGACACAAGCAAGGACACTGGTAGCCATGACAAAGCAAAATGGGATGAGTTTCGTCTATGAGAGACACAGACAGTACGACTCAAGGGACCAAAATAAGGAGTGTGTCCTAGACAGGTTTGGGGGAGCCTGTCCTGCACCCAGCCACGTTCTGTGAGAATTCTTCCCTCCAGTATCCCTGATGAGGGTCTGGATAGGATTGGCCGTGCTGGTCCCATGTGATTGAAGGAGTTAAGAATAAGCCACCCCCAAATATGCCACTCTGATATATTGACTATTTGGAGTTAAAGAAATTAAAAAAAAAAAAACACAAAAGGTACAAGAAGATCCCTCTGACCTCATGCTGTTTCTTAAAAACAGGAGATAAAATTCCCATGTGAAAGACGCTCTCCTATACAGAAGGAAAATAACATTCCTATCATCAAGGATGGGAAGTTGAGGCCAAGAGAATTCTGTACAGATGTTATCAAAATAACTCTTATCTTCTGGTCTCCCCACATAATTTAGTTACTTTGTCACAGTTTTTGAATGTGTTTAACTCTGTGTCTTTGGGTCTTCATTTCCTTATATGGGTTCCTATGTTATGCAAATCTATATTAAATAAATATATGTGCTTTTCTTTTGTTGATTTGTCTTATGTCAATCTAATTTGCAGGCCCAGCCAAAAAACCCTAAGAGGGGAGAGGTGAAATGTTGCCTGCCCTATCTGCTCGTGCCTTCTGGCCACAGCTGACTCCACAATTGGTGGCCACCCGTTTTTGGATAGGACAATCACGTGTCTGATCTTATATTTTAGACTTGTGACCCTGAGCCAGTTAGCTGTTAAAGTCCTAGTCTGGAAAGTCGTACCAAGTTGGGATCAGAGTCAATGCTGGAGAAAAGCCAAGGTTATAGGGAAGCAGAGATCCTGTCAGATGACAGACAGGAAAGTGGCAGAATGGTTCTTAAAAAGTCCTGCACCAGTGCCAAATGCCCAAGGTGGGTCTGAAGATCTTTAATCACCAGCTTCAATCTTTTTCTGTGCCTCAGCCAGTGATGCTTAGACCTGGCAGCTTAGGAAAGGCTGACTGCCCCAGTGAATAATATTCAGCCTGAGTCCAGCTGCTACCCTGTGCTGGTATTCAGTGTCCTTGGACATTTTGGGGCCATTGGACTTCTCTCAGTCTGCAGCTCAGGTCCTCCCTAGCCTTTGTCCTGATATTCTTTCTTCCCCTTCTTTCTCCAGAGTTCAAGGCTGGGACCTCAGCATATCCACAGCTTGAGCCTGCTCAGTTTTTGACACTGGGACGATCAAAAAGAATATCAATCCAATCTAGGTGAAAGCTCCCGTCATTTGTTAGCTGTGTGGCCTTAGGCAAGTCACTTAGCTTCTCTGAGCCTGAGTTTTCTCATCCATTGCATGAGGATAACAACAGCCACCATGCTAGAATGTTAAGAAGTTTCATCAAAGTAATGTAGGCACACAAAAAATTAAAAATTAAAAATCCAAGGTCAAGGGAACACCAAAAATAAAAGAAAAAGAAAAAAAGTATGTACATGGTTCAGTGTGCAATAAATGTCAGCTGCATCATGATGATGCTGATGCTGATGGTGATGATGATTGGGGTGATGAGGCAGAGATATGAACAATTAGAACTCAGGGAAAACTGTGATAAGGGGTGCAGAGACTCAAAACAGCAGAGCTAGAAAGGCCCTGAAAGCATATCCGGGCAGTCCTGGGTGCTGAGGGTTGCAATAGCTTAGAAACCAATTCTGAACTCAAAGAGCTTTGTTGGGGTTGGGGCAGGGAGGGGCAGGGCTGTGCATGGTGGGGTAGAGGTAGGGAGCTATCCTGGCCTTGTAACTGGTGTTGGCCCCAACCACAGGGTACCCCAAGCTGTGGGGTCAACCTGACTCAACTCACATGATGATTCCGAAGTGGTTCCCCAGGAGGTAAGTGGTATCATCTCTCTGTCTACGATGCTCTTGTCTTTGGAGGAAGGTCAAGACCAAAATGATGAAAAACTATAAGAAGAGAAGATGAGAGAGTCAGTGGGCGCATTCATCCTCAGCGTGGCCTCAGCGCCCTCAATGACGACAGAGAACGTATGGTGAGCAGAGCACTCGGAATGTCTGTGACTCAAACTCCACATCTGGGCTGGCTGCATGCACGGGTGAGCCAGCAGAGTGCTTCATACTGAGCTCTCCTTTGTGTCACCTGATGGACATAGGTTCAAATCTAGTCTGTCACATATTGGCTGGGAAAGAGACTTAACTTCCCCGAAGCTTGGTCTCCTCATCTGTAGAAAGGCAGCAATAACTGTCAGGTTTCAAATCCATTTTCCTGTGGATCCAGTCATGTTCTCATGCACTTGATGTTCACTCTCTCTCGCTCTCTCTCTCTCTCTCCCCCTCCCTCCTTTACCTCCCTCCTCCCTTTACTAGAAATGTCTGGAGATTTGTGTATACTTGCCATTTCACCTCTCACTAGCTCCTCAACCCCCTGAACTGGCTTTGATCCCCATCGCTCCACTGAAACAGCTGTGGCCAAAGTCACTGATGACCACCTAGTGGCTCAATCCAGAGGTACATTAAGCCCAAATCTCGCTTGGTCTCTCAGCGGCATTCCACAGTGTTGACCACGTCCTCCTCTGACACTCTCTCTTCCCTAGGCCTCCATCAACCATGTGTTTTTGGTTTTTCTCCCTCACTTCTCAGTCTCCTTTGCTGCATAATTCTCGACCCAACCCCCGGATGTGGAGTTCCTCATAGTTCGGTCCAAGGCCACTCCTCCTTCTACCTGATCTGCTCCTCAGTGTTCTCATTCTGTCCATGCTTTTGATAACTATTGATACACAGAAGACTCACACAACTGTGAATCTCCAGCCCAGACTTTGCCCATGAACTCCGGAACTGTGCATCCAGCTAGACAGTCTACGTTACTTTTTGATGTGTTGAAAGCATCTTAAATTCAGTATGTCTTAAAAGGAACTTGTGCTTTTCCTCCCTGCCCTATTCCTCCATCCACTCCAAGCCTGGATCTCCTCTAGTTTTCCTTAACTAGTGCATAGGAGCTACCACCATCCTTCCATCTGTGCAAATTAGAAACCCAAGAGTCATCTTCAACCTCTCCCTCTCCCAACCTCCCTACCCAACCCACTATGAAGCCCTATTTATTTTTCTACCTCCGAATGTCTTCAGTGGACAACCATCACCTAGGACAAGCTAAAATCGCCTCTTACCTGGACCCCTGCAACTCCTGATTGGTCTTCCAGCCTCTTCTCTTGCCTTCTCCAACCTGATCCCCACATTGCAACTAGCATGATCTTTTTAAAACAGAAATTTGATCACACCAGCCTCATGCCGGAAACACTTCAGTTACTTAGAATGAAGACAAAACTCTTGAATACTGAGCCCCAAAGGGGTCTGATGGCCTGGCTCTGCCCACCTCCCCAGGCCCACCTCAGTTCTCTACTCCAGCTGCTCTGGCCCTCTCAGTTCCTTACGCTCTCCATTCTCCTCTCCATGGGGCCTTTGCACATGCTCCCCCTCTGAAATGCTCTTTACTACATCTTCCGACTGATCCCAGCTCCGTCATTACTTCCTCAGAAAAGCTTTTATTGACTTCTCTAAAAGCCAGTGTCCCTGACTCTTGGACCCTTAAAAGCCTTCCACTGCCTGTGGTTTTGGTGCATAATGTAAGATATCAAGCTGAAGTTTTAGAACTTTTACTTACTGATGGGATGAGGGAGTAATGGAGGAAGAGCTCCATGTCCACTGAGCTGGCCCAGGTGCCATTTAGCTGCCCGGTCCTGAAAAATGGCCCAAAATCACATTCACATCATCAGTCGCTGCTGCAATCATTGACCCTTCATCCTTGGGCATCACTGTCAGGAGTTGGGCTTGTAGCTCACTAAGACCATTTGATCTTTTTAAACTTCACTTTCTCAGAGCCAGGGCTGCTCACCTGTGGTATGTCTTCCCTGAGTGAATTAATCTTTTTTCATATTTCTTTCTCCAGCTTGATTATCCACCCAGCTTCCCTGCTAACTGGAACTAACTCCTTCATTTCTTGATGACACAGTGAGGGGACACATTCAGGTTCTGTGGGGCCCAAAGCTTACATAATTTGGGCATCCTTTTTAAATTAAAGTAGAAAAATACCTTACTTTTTCACATGTTAAGGGAAACATATGGCCATGTAAACATTTAATTAGAGCCCCTCCCACCCTCTCAGAGCCTTGGAAGAGTCCTATGGAAGTAAGAGACCCTGAGACTGAAGCTTCATTGATTTCACATGAAATCAGCCTTCAGACATGGTTTTCCATAGCCAAATCAAGAAACACCAGCTGGAATGTTGGGGGAGGAGAGAGGCTATTGGACTACAGTCTACAGACTTTGTCCTCTCCAGTCTGCACGGTCTTAAGGACAGGGTGGTGAGGTCTCGTATCTGAAGCATTTGGCAGCAGTATTGTGGTTTCTCCTTAAAGAAAAGCCTCCTTTCTAGGGCTCCCTGAACGCTTTGTCCTCACTGCTCTGTCTTCCACAGTGCCACGCCACCACAGCACAGTCTATACACCTCAAGATCCTTGCTCATGCTTTTCCAACTCCTGCAGCACCCATACAGCCATTTCCTGGGCTTCCTTTCCTGGCCAGCGCCTAACATCTCAGGGAAGAGCGCTCCTCTGGGGAGCCCATGAGCATGGTATATTCCCCCATAATTCTTTAAAATTGGAGCACTTCATGGTTAGACATAAACATTTGATAAGTGATGGGATGGGGGCGGGTGAGTCTCGAGCTGTCAGAAATGTGATAGAACTATACAAATCAGACTTCTGCTTTTCAGAAAGTAAACTGAGCACATATATTAGCCTCCTCATCCCATACAAAACTCTCAAAACAATAGAAAAGAAAGAGAAAGAAAGAAAACATAGTCATACTTGAAAGCAAGAAAGGGATCTATCAAGACCACAGAAACTTCTAGAAGATCCTGAATGGTGGAGAGAAATTGGAACTAGATCAGAAAGAAAAAGCATCAGCCAAAATAGCTGTAGATTGCGGGACCACACAAGAAGCACCCCATGCCCATAGCACAAGAAGCAGTGTAGAAGGGGGCTGGCAACAGACCACACAAGGATGAATTAAGGTCTCACAGAGAGGACAATAGGCAGAATGTCCCTACCCAAGTGTCCTCCCATCCCTGCTGACTGGCTGGGGGCAATGGGGTTTATGTCTCCAGGAGGAGTATATATGGGTCACAGGGAGAGAAGCAGTGCCCCAGATCATGTGTAGCACCTGGGAGGGACCAGGAGCTTCGGCATCCAGAAGGCCGGCTACCGGGGTGCCCCATCTATTGGGACCTCCCACCTGCACCCCACTCCACCAAAAGCAAACCTTAGTACTAGCCATGGCAAGAGCTACCACCTCTCCCCAAAGCAGAGGCAGCCAAAGGTCCAGTGGAAATCTCAGCCACAAAGACGAGCACAATCAAGAACCATCCAACACGTGAGGAAAGACAACACCACAAAAGGGAGCCCAAAACTCAACCAACAGAGGAACTTACTCCTGAGGAAATGGAGTTAATACAGATCCACTCCGAAGTAATTACTAGAGGAGGTTTTCCACAAGAAGAATAAATATAGGAGGAACTAAAGGACTGCAAAAAGCAATAGGAAGCAAAGGAATTGGCAAAACTTACTGTTAATCCTGAGCACAAGGTTTTAAATATTTATATATATTTGTATTCATATTTACATATAATATTAAACTTAATAATAAGTTTAATAATATGTTAAGTACATATTTTTATAAACACAAGGACTCATAAAGTTTCTCATCTACAAATCCTTTTTGAGAAAAATACTGGAGGAAACCCTCAGGTAATAAGAAAAATGAATCTAGGTGGAAGGAGAAGGATTTAAAAGAACATCATACAGAGAAATTAGTAAAACATTGTTAAATATTTAGATAAGTAATAATTTTGAAACAAAATGTTTGAACAGCCCATGTGGAACTAAAATACCAGATGATATTCCATGCGGGAGAAGGGAGAGGTGGGTGGAAACAGGTGTGAAGGGCAGACGGAAGTAAAACGATGATCAAGTTCTCATCATAGTTAGGAGTAGGATATAGAAACCTGCTCTCTCTTTCTGGGCTGCGTAGGAAAAGTATAAGAGCTGGCTGGTTGGCTCACTTGGTTACAGTGCGGAGCTGATAACACCAAGGTCAAGGGTTCAGATCCCCGCACCAGCCAGCTGCCAAAAGAGAAAAAAGAAAAATATAATTCTAAGCAAGTATGTTAAAAATCCATGATTGACTACCAAGAGGATATAAATACATTGTAAACCAGTATATTAAAGAGTGCATATGAAAGAAAAAGGATTCAATCACTCCAACAAATGACCAGGAAGATTAAAAAAATGAAATAAAGATAAAGACAAACACCACAATAACAAAAATATTCAAAGATTAGTAAGCCATCAACAAAAAATACAAATATCTAATAAATACTTAAAATTCAACTAGTAATGAAAGAAGAAATTAAGATGAAATGCTGTGTTATCCACTAAATTGGGAAAGTAACTACTGAGCATTATTGAGATCTAAGACAAGAAGGTATTCATTTAGTGGTGATCAGAGTGTAAGCTGGTATAACCATTCCGAAGATTAATTCTGCAATATATACCAAGAATCTTTAAAATGCAGAAATTCCATTTCTGGGAATTCTACTTCTAAAAAATATAAGCTAAGGAAATAATGAGAGAGGTGCCTGAAGATATGTATTAAAATGCTAAGATTTCTCTCTCTCCCTCATATATGTGTCTAACATTTTTCAAATGTAATATGTGCTCTCTGGTCACTGAGACTCATACTTTTTCCTGGTGGGTCCATGGCTGGTTGGGCAGATTTGTTGAAGGGTGAACATTGTTAACTATTTAGATAAGTAAATAAATAAATAAACAAAAATAAAATAAATAATAAATAAAAGGACAGCAGCCACAGGGCAGCTGCAAAACAGAACCCCCAACTATAGAAGATCTGCCCAACACTGAGGATGGCTTGAAAATGTAATTATGATATACATACTGTTAAGTGAACAAAATAATAACATAAAAGATTATGAAATGATATGATCCCAAGCTGTTAAGAGTGGTCATGTTTGGGTGGTGAGATTACACAGAGGTCGTTCTACTTTCTTTTTCTTTATGTTTTTCTGAATTTTCCACATGTAGTACAAGAGACATATTGCTTGACAGCTGTGTATCTATCCCCAGTGCTTAAAGCAGCATCTGACACAAAGGAGATGGCAATAAACACATGTGAAATGAACGAATGTGTTGCTTTTATAATCAGGGAAAAGACTGAATGTTGTTCCAAAGCAACAAAACACCATTCTGAAGGGAAGATGTCCATGAAATCAACATAGAGTGAAAACATGCAAGGCTTCTTCTGCCATAGGGTGAAATTTACAAATCCTTCATTAAGTTAAATAAACTGAACATAAAAGCCTACAAGAGTCAATCTGAGGAGCAACCTACAGCTGTGGCATCAACAGCATAGTTTGGGGTTTTTTTATTGAAACATAATTGATTGTACATATCTGTGGGGTACAGTGTTGAATATCAATACCTGTGTGCAATATGTGATGCTCAAATCAGGATAATCAATATATTCATCATTACACAATGTAATCATTTTTTGTGGCCCTTGACCAATTTCTCGCTGATCCCTCTCCCCCTCCCCCTTGCCCACCTCTGGCGCCTCGGTTCTGTTCTCTCCTTTGAAAGCTCAACAAATTATTCTGATTGTTGTATCTTTCCTTCTTCCTTTTTAAATTTATTTGTTTATTTTTTAGCTCCCACTTATGAGTGAGGACACGGGGTAGTTCTTTTTCTGTGCCTGGCTTATTTCATTTAACATAAATCCCCACCTCCCTCCTCCAAGGCCCTCCGCTGATTGTCTGCTGTGGGGGGAAGGTCTCCCTCAATCCTTCTGCTTCCCTGGGTCCTAACATCATCACTCTATAGTAATAGGTTAAACATATGATAGCAGCTTTCGTTGATTGATGTCACTTTATTGTGTGTCACTATTTTATATTACCTAGTCTAATCTTTGCAAGAATCTTATGAGGTAGGTTCTATTAGCCTTTATTTATTTATTTATTTATTTTTATTTATCTTTTATTGGGACATAGTCGATTGCACATATCTGTGGGTACAACATTTAATATCAATACGTGTGTGCAATATGTGATGCTCNGTCTAATCTTTGCAAGAATCTTATGAGGTAGGTTCTATTAGCCTTTATTTATTTATTTATTTTTATTTATCTTTTATTGGGACATAGTCAATTGCACATATCTGTGGGTACAACATTTAATATCAATACGTGTGTGCAATATGTGATGCTCAAATCAGGATAATTAGTACAATTTTCATAATACAAAGCAATTGATTTTCATGACCCTTTACCAATTCCTCCCTTTCCTCCCTCCCTCTCCCCTTTTTCACCTCTGATAACCTCAGTTCTATTCTCTTCTCTTGAAAGTTCAATGTATTATTGTGATCGTTGTATCTTTCTTTTTTTTTTGTCTATCTGTTTTTATGTTTTTATTTTTTTAGCTCCCACATGTAAGTGAGGACATGCGGTATCTGTCTTTCTGTGCCTGGCTTATTTCACTTAACATAATTTTTTTCTAAATTCATCCATGTTGTTGCAAATGGCAGCTCTATTTACAACAGCCAAGAGTTGGACCCAACCTAAACGCCCATCGTTGGATGACTGGATAAAGAAAATGTGGTATATTTTTACA